CATAGTGTGGTAATCCATCAGTCCCCCATTTGTCATTCATAGAGTGGTAGTCCATCAGTCACCCATTTGTCATTCATAGAGTGGTAGTCCATAAGTCACCCATTTATCATTCATAGTGTGGTAATCCATCAGTCCCCCATTTGTCATTCATAGAGTGGTAGTCCATCAGTCACCCATTTGTCATTCATAGTGTGGTAGTCCATCAGTCACCCATTTATCATTCATAGTTTGGTAGTCTATCAGTCACCCATTTATCATTCATAGAGTGGTAGTCCATAAGTCACCCATTTATCATTCATAGTGTGGTAATCCATCAGTCCCCCATTTATCATTCATAGTGTGGTAATCCATCAGTCCCCCATTTGTCATTCATAGAGTGGTAGTCCATCAGTCACCCATTTGTTATTCATAGAGTGGTAGTCCATCAGTCACCCATTTGTCATTCATAGAGTGGTAGTCCATCAGACACCCATTTATCATTCATAGTGTGGTAGTCCATCAGTCCCCCATTTGTCATTCATAGAGTGGTAGTCCATCAGTCACCCATTTGTCATTCATAGAGTGGTAGTCCATCAGTCACCCATTTATCATTCATAGAGTGGTAGTCCATCAGTCATCCATTTGTCAGAAGAAGAATCAAAAGAACTTAGTATTTCTGAGTTCATTAAAGTTATACCTTTACTTAACAATTTTTGTGAAACATGTTCATATATCCGTTGTCTTAAAAGTAATGATTACTCTGCTATTCTTTTAATGTGAAATTCTCCTCGTTTTTTATCGACTTAAGTTATAGAGTTGAAGCTAGTTGAATAAGCTACATTTTTAAAAAAATATAAATAAGAAATATCACGCTGTGTTTAGAGCTGTTAAATTTTTTTGTCTTGAAGTATGAGTATACTTGTTCGGCTCTTAACGATGATAATCATGTTCATGCTTTCCTTTTTTTTTTCAGGTGCCTTTTTGATACCATATGCATTCATGATGACTTTTTGTGGTCTACCCTTGTTCTTTTTGGAGTTATCTCTTGGACAGTTTCATGGAAAAGGCCCCAACATCGTTTTCCATCATCTAATACCCATCTTCCATGGTTCGTGTGGTCCACTAGATGTCAATTTTGGATAAATATAATTAGAAAGGTTCAAGACGTGCAAGGCCTAGTTAACTAACAAATAGACACGAACAGCTTGCTATATTAGGGCAATAATTTCAAACAATTTTCTGATGACCAAACCTCACAAACATTCAGACAATTGCTTAAGAAGTAATTACTATAATAAAACTATTATAATCTCCCTCTTTATTTGGTTTGTTTTGTTTCGGATAATTGAACAAAGCTACATAAGGGTTATCTTCGTTAGCTGTTCCTAATTTTGAACCGATACATTAGTGAGGAGGCAACTAGTCAATAGAAACACCCACATCAACTGCTTTATATTTCCATTTGTTAAAGTTACATAACTTACTTTTGAAGCTTCTTTTAATCAGTATTCACTGTGTAACACTTATTATTATAACAGAAACTAATTCACTACAGAGTATTCGCTAATAAAATACACGACAATATATATATCAGACTGTTCAATATTTCTAGTTATTTCCAAATATTTATATCGTTTTTCTTGTTGTTGTTTTTTTTTACAATAACCTATTGCATATATTCTGAAAGTAACGTTCTGTTGTAACGTCCTTCTTGTAAATTATTATTGTATATTTCAATACCCAGTCTACGTAACAATAACAATTTAATTTATTTCCTTCTTTACCGTTAATATAAACTTTAACACTATGGTAAGTTGTAGGCCATATTTACAGCCATGAAACATCATGGCTGGTCAATACAGTAACCAAAACACACTAAGTAATTTACCATTAGCTGAAACATAAACATTCTTTGACTGATTCTCTCTACTGACTAGAGACAGATCTTTCTATTCTTCACTGAACTTCGTATTTTATAATCTACTAAACAACACGTGACCCGTTGGGTCACCCACTATTCAGAGGTTATGAATAATTGAAGCTAATTTTAATCTTGCACCGAAATGAAGGTTTATTTTGAGATAATTTAATTAAATATTTCCATCCATTCACGTTATTCATAATTCAAGAAAAGATATTTGATTGTTGATCGGGAGTAAAAGTAAAGACCATTTCATTTTCCAAAAAAAAGTGAAGTCAGAGTTTTCAGGTATTGTGATGAATTAGTTCATTATGTTGTGATCTTTCCTCTTAAGCCTTCTACAAATAAGAAACAGTAACACTTTATTTTTTTATCGAATTACCTACCATAACAAAGGTACATTATTGAGAAATTCTTCAAGATCTTGTTTTTTGTAATCTTATGTCTTTTAATAAAGATGGGAACATTGACAGGGAAATAGATTTGAACGAAGAAGTTTCGTAAAGAGCGCAAACGGTAGTGTGATGTAAAATTACTCATGCTAGAAATTTTCATAAAAGTGACTCGAAAAATGGGGCTAACTCGGTAACCCGTGGCCCGATGAAGTTTCGTAAAGAGCGCGAACGAATGATTTTTTTGACTGAGAAAATAAGCAAACAAACAATCTCAGAGTTCTTCGAGATCTTGTTTTTGTCATCTTACGCCTTTTAATGATGATGGGAACATTGACAGGAATATGGTATAATAGCCAATGCTCGGCGAGAGGTTTTCGTTTATAAAATTTTGTTGTTGTTCTAGAATTGATTTTTATTTTATTACCTCGTCACCATAGTTACTATTTGCAAATAGTCACTAATATCGTAAGTCCATTTTATTGTTGTTCTTTCTATAACACATTTTCATCTCATCATTTAATTTCTGTTGTGCATATATTGTTGTATAGAAGATATTGTAAAGTGATTCATCAGGTGGAAAACGAA